ATATTCCGGAGCGATAAGAAGTGCGTCCGACTCTCAGGTGTTCGCCACTGCGTGAATACCTGCGAGATAAAGTCTAAACGTCCTTCCATACCTTCTATAACTCCATCCTTGTCTCTCTCATTTAAGCGCATTTCCAAGGGTTTGGACGTAACAGTACATATTCACTGATATGTTTTCTTATACAGTTATATACAGTTATATGTTAGAATTAAACTGAATACTTAATTAATGTGTATACATGCACACACATTAGGTGCATCCAGAAGCATGAGCGCTCACTGAGCGCTCAGGGAGCTCTTGCATCTGATTGATATATTCCGTTAGATCTAAAATTATAGACCAATGCACCCATTGTAATACATATAAAGTTCAAATATTGGCTGCGTATAAACAAACATGAAGAATATCTGCAAGAATATCTATGTGTAAATAATTTCTATCTGTAATATGTATATAGTCAGTTTTGAGCATGAGTAACTGTTAAGGCTTATCACTTGTTACCGACCAGATATAGTTTAAGGGCAGTAGTTCCGAGATTGTAACGAGGCGCTACTGGCGGCGAGATGGCAAGATGGCGAATAAAGTATATAGAGAACAGACGTACACACGAGCGCTCTTTTAATCTACAAAATGGTGAAATCCAGCATCCATCCAATAAGTTCAGAACATTGGTCCTTCGAGCCGGATGTGCTGGGGATTCGATACGCATCGAAAACAAGATTCAGGAAGAGAAGACGAAGTGAGGCGAGAGCACGATCGGTTATAGCGAACGCGAAACATCATCGAGTCGTGTGTTCGCAACGAGAAGATCCATAGAGGCAAGGCAGTGTGGCCTTTGCAAGACGTGAGTTCTTCCTGTTTTGAGTAAGCAGTGTAAGGAGAGCATCGAGCAATAGCGAAAACTGTGAGTAGCGCTATTCAGCAACATAGAGGTACAAGCACGCGGCGTTAGCAAATCAGCCGCCATTACGCACGTTGAGCAGTCCACGTATCACGATACAGAGACACGAGCGTATCGTTGATCGTGAACTCATTACCGGTCAGCACAATAAGGCTGCTGACTACAGAAATCGCAAAGGCATATTGGAGAGAGAGAGAGAGTGAGAAAGAGTAACGGTTCGAGTCAACAACGATCGCAGACGGCGCAGTCGACGACACAAACGGAGACATAGACGCAAGCGGCGGGAATCGAGATAACGAACAGCCAATCAATGTCGAGCGGCACTGGCAATGCAAACACATCAACAGTGGGTCTTAACCAAGTAAGAAAGTGAGGTATCCATTCACACTCGTTTAATATTCCTTACATTATATTATTCGGCGTTTGAGGCAATCATGGAAGTTTTAGTTAAATCTAGAGGTGTTATAAAGGGTAAAATTACATCTTTCAAAACGTATCTCGCGAAAACATCACTTACATTTTCGGATCCGTCCACACCAATAGATAACGTGACAGCGTCAGACATACGTGAGCGCGTTTTTCGAGCAAGAGAAGCATATGAAAAATTCGAGCAAATTCAATCGAGTATTGAGGAGATAACCGAGGATGATCAAGGTGCGGCAGAATATCGCGCAATCTTCGAAGAAGAACATTTCAGTGTTATCGCGCAAGCCGAGGCTTTACGCATGCGCAATACAGTACACATGGACGCGTCACGTTTGAGTGCTGAAATTAGCGGGATTTCCTCTTCACAAACGCCTGTCATTCGCACAACGACCGGACAGAACGCGATTAATACTGCAGCGGGTATCGCAACATCGTCAATTATATATAAACCTATGGGTATCAGGTTGCCAACAATCGAGTTGCCGAAGTTTAGTGGTGAAGCATCTGATTGGCTTAGCTTTCGTGACACATTTGAATCCTTGATACACAAAAATGAGACAATTGATACGATACAAAAGTTTCATTATTTAAAGGCAGCGCTGCAAGATGGTGCAGCGCAAATTATTAAGTCCCTTGAATTTACCGCGATCAATTACACCGTAGCATGGGAAACCATATGTTCTAGATTTAATAATAAACGATTGCTTACATACAATCACATTAAGGCCATATTCAATATTAAGGTGTTAAAGGAAGAATCAGCTCCGCAATTGCGCGAGATTGTAGATATAGTCAGCAAGCATTTACGCGCTTTAAACGCATTAAATCAAGCAACAGAACATTGGGATGCTTTATTAATTTATTTAATCTCGACGAAATTAGATAGCATAACGGCTCGAGCCTGGGAAAAGGAGCGAGCTGGAAATGAAATTCCCACATTAGAAGACTTCAAAACATTTCTAAATTCGCGAGCGGACATGTTAGAGACACTGGAATTAAACAATAAGTCGGTTACTAAATTAGATATTAAGTCGAAACAATCGGATCGGTCCAAGGTCAAATCACTGATCGTACAAAGTCAAAAGTGTAGTATGTGTAAAGAGATGCATAAGTTACTGACCTGTGAAAGGTTTCTTGAGCTCTCACCTCAAGACAGAGCGAATCATTTAAAAACAGCGAGGTTATGCCTTAACTGCATGAGATCGGGACATTTTGTTAGAGACTGTAAGGCAAGATCATGCAGACAATGTTCAGGAAAACATCATACTTTAGTACATTTCGAGAGAGCATCCTCAACGCAGGTAAAGCCCGTTGAAGAGAACAAAACGGCTTCAGTTTTATGTTTGCATAGTCAGTATAACACTCATAGCGTTCTATTGGCTACGGCAACGGTGGTGGTAACTGATAATCATAAAGTGGATCATAAGGTTCGTGCAATTTTGGATCCAGGTTCTCAATCTAGTTTCATTACCACCAGGTTATGTAGAGAGATGAGGTGGCCTACATCAAAAATTCAGTTGACAATCGAAGCTATCAATGGGAAATCATCTCAAATAGAACATAAATGTAATGTCAAAGTAAGGGCGCTACACAATAATTTTCAGTTCGATATGAAGTGTTTGGTAATTTCGGAAATTACAGGGCAATTACCAACTCAATACATTGATAGACAAGACTTGCAAATTCCCACTAACATTAGACTTGCGGATCCTTCTTTCCATATTCCAAGCAATATAGATGTTCTTATAGGAGCTGACTACTTTTGGAGCTTACTTTGCATAGGGCAACTGAAAGTAGGAGGAAATCAACTTACCATGCAAAAAACCAAGTTAGGCTGGATAGCAGTGGGTCCGTGGAAGAGCAACATATCGAAATCTATTAAATGTAATCTTAACAGATCGTTCGATATTGATAGCAACCTCACGAAATTCTGGGAAATCGAGGAAACCGAAGCCAAAGAAACGTGGTCAGAAGAGGAGAAAGAATGTGAAAGACATTTCGTAGCAAACACATATCGTAACACAGACGGCAGATTCGTGGTAAGCATGCCACTCAGAGAAGATGTCAGTAAGCTTGGCGAGTCCAAACCAATCGCGCTCAAACGGTTTTTCAATCTCGAGAAAAAATTGATAAGGTGTCCGACTCTTAGGGAACACTACATTGCATTTCTAGCAGAATATGAGAAATTAGAACATATGAGTAAGGTCCTTGAGGAATCAGCGCATGAAATTTCGTATTATTTGCCGCATCATTGTGTTATTAAGAATGATAGCTCAACAACTAAGATACGTGTAGTATTTGATGCATCAGCACCAACCGATAATGGTATATCTCTCAATGATATACAAATGATAAGTCCCGCAGTTCAAGGTGACTTATTCGCATTGTTAGTTAGGTTCAGAGTTCATCCGTACATAATATTAGCGGATATACAAAAAATGTTCAGACAGGTGTTGATAAATCCAGACCAGCGTTTGTTACAAAGAATCATATGGCGCTCTAGTGATAAAGATCCTATACAAGAGTTCGAGTTAAACACGCTCACATATGGTACAGCATCGGCACCGTTCCTAACATCGAGATGTTTGAAGGAGCTAGCTAATCAAGTTGAACCTACCTTACCGCAAGCGGCCAGGATCATACGAAGGGATTTCTACGGGGAGGCTAAAAAACTCGGAATTTTCTAATGACAAGAAGCATCCCATGGTTTTGTTAGCGAAACATCGTTTTACTAAGCTACTTCTCATGGAAAAGCATATGCAATTAATGCACGCACCACCACAAGCATTGTTAGCGTCGGTACGCGAACGGTTTTGGATAATCGGTGGTAGAAACCTCGCAAAGAGGGTTGTTCACGAATGCATAAAATGTTTTAGAAACAAACCGCAACAAGCACAAGCGATAATGGGCGAATTACCTAAATCTCGTGTGACGATAACCGAACCCTTTCATGTTACGGGGGTCGATTACGGCGGTCCTTTCCTGATAAAGGATAAACGGGGAAGAAGGTTGCAAAACGAATAAGTGTTATATCTGCCTATTCATATGCTTTGCCACAAAGGCAATACATTTAGAGTTGGTCTCGGATTTGACCACGGAATGTTTCATTTCGGCGCTCAGACGCTTCGTGTCTAGACGAGGCAAGCCGGCTCACATATACTCAGACAACGGCACCAATTTCGTGGGTGCCAATCGAGAACTAAAGGATTTAGCTCAATTCTTAATAAAGGAACAAACAGGTCTCAGTGAGTGCATTAATGACATAGGAATCAGTTGGCACTTTATTCCAGCTTACTCTCCGCATTTCGGAGGCCTATGGGAGGCGGGAATAAGATCGACTAAATACCACTTGAGTAGGGTTGCAAGTAACGCATCATTAACAGTCGAGGAGTTCTATACGTTGATTACACAAGTAGAAGCGATACTAAACTCGCGACCTTTAACTCCCATGTCGACTGATCCTAATGACCTCATTCCACTTACTCCTGCTCACTTTCTGATTGGAAAAACCTTACACTCGGTGGCTGATCCAGATTTAACACATCTACCTGAGTCCAGGTTATCTAGATGGCAGCTACTCCAAAATCTGCAGCAATACTTTTGGAAAAGATGGAGCAAGGAGTATGTGTCAGAATTATAGCAGCGCACAAAATGGAAGGAGAACTCCTCACAACTAAAGGAAGGCACGATGGTGCTAATCAAGGAGGAAAACCTGCCCCCATGCAGATGGAGGTTGGGGCGCGTAACATCCATTCATCCAGGTCGAGACCAGGTGGTTCGAGTAGCCACTGTGAGGACGTCCACGGGCACTGTACACACCACCATCGCGAAACTTTGTCCGCTCCCTATTGAAAATGTACATGATTCTGTTTAATTTAAGAGTATCACGCGAATTCACACTTTCATAACGTCTAAGGACGAAACGTACTCACTTAAATACTTACGTTATTTGTTTGATTGTCACATAGCTTTGACCAAAATTAACTCGTTAATCATCGTTACCATTGTATTTCGAATTTATTTTAGTTGGCTGTAACTTACACGTTATTTGATAGCGATGTACAACATCAATGAATATAAGGGTTACTAACATAGGTCTCTACTAAATGATAAGGCAATCTTAAAAAAAAAAACACAGTTATATTACTATTATTTACATAGAGCTAAGATAATTTAAGGAATTTAGTTCCTAGTGTTCTCAAATGATACAACCTGTTAGCAAATAGCATATTATGTTATGATTAGAGTTCTATGGTCTACAAGTCAACTAAGTTCATTTAAACTATGCGCGTACTCATTATTACAGTCCACTCATAAAGAAAGGACCTCAGTTTAGGTCTAATTGAAAGACATGCTTTCAATGCCGGGGGGCATGTTAAGGCTTATCACTTGTTACCGACCAGATATAGTTTAAGGGCAGTAGTTCCGAGATTGTAACGAAGCGCTACTGGCGGCGAGATGGCAAGATGGCGAATAAAGTAGAGAACAGACGTATACACGAGCGCTCTTTTAATCTACAAAAAGGTGAAATCCAGCATCCATCCAATAAGTTCAGAACAGTAACTTATATCTCCTTTTATTGGTATAATAAAAAAGAGATGAAGTAGCTACATACGTGCAATATATCCTCTATTGATAACACATGTAATGTCCTAATCTAAAATGGTAGCAAAAAGTGCTACTACAGTGCACGTGTTTATAGTATACATATCTAGTATACATCTAAAGTTCACATCTAAAGTATATAAACATACACACAATTATACATAATGTGTATGGCCCTACACACATCATGGCCTTACAACGCCGTATTAAATGTGGATATGGCTAATGATTATGTACATTTATATTCTTAGTCAAGCCGATTAGAAAAGTAAATCGTATTAAAGTTCTTTCTACAAGGTGTTTGAGACACACGAATATCCCTTTTATTTTAGCAGGATAAGATCCAATCAAAAATATTTTCAGACCATAGTTACAAAATTTAAAATGATCTATTTATTGATCGTATCGGTTTGCTCTTGGGTGGCGTCACCAAGATGAGGTCTCATTTTTTAAATAGAACACCCTATTTTTTTCTTCCAATGTTACAGTTTATGTCAAGAATTTTTCAAAACATAACAATTAAATATTTCTGCATATACTTTTTGATTTATGGAGTTTGAAAGATACCACCGGCATTAGCGTTACCCAAGGTATACCGCGTGGAGGTTGCCTGGTTGGATTTACACCTCTTGTGTGTATCGTAGCAGAGATAAATACCCCACGATACGTTTTTATTGGACTTTATCCCGCGAGATAAAAGGGGTATACAGGTTGGTCTCAGACACCCTGTATACAAGTTGTTGATCTTATTTCTTTGCAAAAATTTCAATCGACCGATAATACAAAATACATAAACTTTATCGTATACTGTTTTTTAAATTTTTATATAAGCTTACAAACATTTATATATAAACAGTATATTTCCTATTAAAATAAGACAGCGTTATATAATATTATATCATATAATATGTTTATTTTTAACAATATAGAATGAGCCCCCCCATCGCCCATTCCCATGAAACGCAACCACAAATTTCTTCGTTTCCCCGTGTTTTGTGTATGACTTGAGCAAATAAAATTACGCACTTTTTTATGACGTTCTTCCACACGTTTTGTAGAATGTGTAATTATATTTCCGTATGTGCGTATAGAACAGCGGAACAATATTCTTTGAAATAACATATCATTCAAAGAATATTTATTGCCTCGGAAAAGACAAGAGTTTGCGGCTTTCTATTATAGCAAAGAAGTGACGTCTCATAGACTCTACGTCAGTAGAATAATTTTCTTTGCAAGGATCTCTTCCTAGGACTACATCTGTTGCAAAAGCCGCAGCGTATATTCCACAACACGTACCATCTGGTTGTGTTTGAACTTTTTTAAAACTTATATCGGTACGTATTATTTGTGGAAAACGAGCTCTGATATATTCCTTTTCTTTCGACGCCATCTTATCATATGTACAGCCCGGTATGCTGTCGTATACATGAAGTTTCGTTCCGTCGAAAAAGATACAACGCCAGTGATTCGTACAATTTCCGCCAATTATTTGTACACTTTGATTACGAATGGCTGCAATCAAGTCTGGATACTCTATATACTGTACGCTTTGTGTTTCGAAACAAGATGTTTCTCTCACAACGCATAAGAATAGATCCAATTACTATATTTGGACAAAATATTATCTTTTACGTCATAAATTTCAATAATAGTATCATTTAATACTTTTTTGCGATTTGCTATATCTTTTGCTGTCAGATTTTCTTTTATCGAATGACCGGCTATAATACAATCCTCTTCTTCCGAAACAGCAGGACCAACAGAAGCAGTAGTAATTGTCTCTGTTGGGATCTCATTCTGTTTCAATTTTTTAATGTCTTGCGAAAACTGTTCATTTGTACAAGTTGTCGCTGTATGTTGTCGTTTAGTGTTTCGACTAGCTGTTTGTGCTTCAATAATGTATTGTGGCTCTCTGATAGGCATGTTTCTATTATGCCGACTATCCACAATTTCAGGAAGCATACATTCTAAATAAAAACGTGTTAAAAAAAGTAACATTTTATTTTTCCAAAAATCAATGTCTCTATCAACACGTACTGTTTTGACACTTTTTGTCGTCCATATTGCGAAAATGCAATATTTTCGCTGTGTTATGTTCAACTGTCCTTGTACTTGATAAAAATAATGGTGATTTTTATTCATTTGGTTTCCATTTTTTTTGTCAAACATACTTTTTAGTCGAGACAGTGTTTCTACAGCCTTCTCCGCTGATAAATTCTCAGCTGATAGAGGACATTTGATCTCCACTAGACCATCTTCATCGAGAAGTCCATCGGGAGTAGCACCCAACCACGGATTGTCACGATCTATGAACAATCCACATGGTTTAATTTGTTTCTTTAATTGTACAGCTAAATCTTGTTTCGCCATTTCTTCCATATCACGGCCATATTTTATGGCTGCGGTATCAATAAATGGAGGAAACAAAATATTTTTTACGGTTGTTGCACAAGACGTTGTTGATCTCATACGACATACGATTCCGAAATTTGACGCTGTCAACATTCCGTTCCTCGTTACTTTCCATAATTCACAATTACTTTGGTCCTTCGTATCGTGTTCAATTTGTTTCCAGTTTCTTGCGTTTTCAGCTAATTTTTCTAAATGCTCTTTCTTATATTCTTCTAATATATTAGGTGTATAGTCTGGTCGTTGCGATTTTTGTCCATAATGACGATCTGTTCCTAT